GGGTCAGTGCTGAGGGAGCGCCGCACTGTCGGAGGGTCAGTGCTGAGGGAGCGCTGCACTGTCGGCAGGTCAGTGCTGAGGGAGTGCCACAATGTTGGAGGGTCAGTGCTCGGGGAGTGCCACAATGTTGGAGGGTCAGTGCTCGGGGAGTGCCGCACTGTTGGAGGGTCAGTGTTTAATTGTCAATGAACACAACATCTATAACAGAGAACAGCTATGGGAGCGAAGAATGTTTCACTTCAAATCATTTTTTTCTCTTAACATATTTGAGAGATTTGATGAATTTGTACTTTTAAACCACATAGCACTGTTGGAGTTTGTCGAACTCTATATCTGTACCAACAAGCTCTCTGGTCATCAGCTAATTACTACAATTTACTCTGTTTCAACACATCCCAATGTGTTGAAAAGCCCCTTCTATGGGTTAACTCATTCTGAAGTATGTTCACTCTGTTTAAGAAGCGATTACCATGAAGTAGACAACCTGTGAGGTCTCCACACACCGTTGCTGAAGGTTAATATTCTCATGACAACTGAGAGAAATATTTTAGCTGTGTGTGTGTGTGTGTGTGAGAGAGAGAGAAATATTTCAGTTGCTCATGGTACCAATACAAAGCAAATGTGGAAAATTGTGAAGCCTCAAATAATATGATTACATTCTCATAAGATGTTCTCCCAGTTAGTTATTAGAATCTTGATGGACGATCTGTGAAATGATTGGATTGTTGGGAGACACTCTGTGGGAATTTTACCCCAATGAGCTCTTCTCACTGACTGTCCCCACTGGCAGAATTGTCCCAAACTCACCTGGCACCCTGCTACAGTCGGAGCATCTGAGAGGGGAGTACTTTGTAACAATTAAAGTGATGTTACTGTCAGCTCTGTCTGATCCTGGCAGAGTTGATTGAAGATTACCCCAACGTGAAGTAGCCTTATCAAAGCAGACTTTTGGGTCAGTCCAAAGACAAGAAAGCTTGGAATATGGGAACAAGCAGTGCAGTTCTGCATGGTTATTTTACCAATTGCAGTTAGACACCAAGACATGACCTGGAGTTATGACCCTCTCCTCTCCCTCCATGTTTTTCTTGTCCCTGGGTTTCCACTCCTCATTTTGATCAAGTCACTCGTGGGACTGAGGGCAGGTCATTCAGCCCTTTGGGTTTGTTCTGTCATCAGTCAGTTCATTACAGATTGACTCCATTTACTTGCCATTGTCCCATATTCTCTGAAATCCTTACCGCAAAAAAAATCTCAGTTTTAAATCTCAATGGACCCCAGTATCCAGAGGCTGAGAGTTTGAGATCATTTGAAGATATGCCTCCTTCCCCCAGACAGCCGCACTCTAACGTGAAGATTCTGTTCTGGATTCCTCTACCAGAGGAAATAGTTTCTATCTATCTTATCAAATATTTTAATGTTCAAAACTTTGATTAAATCAGCCCTCAACCTTCTAAACTTGAGCCAAGTTTATGTAACCTGTCCACATAATTTAACTCTTTAAGACCTGATACTATTGTGGTGAATCTTTGCTGTATCTCCTTCATTTCCATGGACACACATTCTGAATGATTATTTCAATTTTGGATTATTTCAAATTTGATTCCACATGCAGTCCATCCCGCACCATCTAATATTAGGAGAGTTTGGAGCTCTGTGGCCCCTCGATGTGTTAGAAAATGGAGAAAGTGCAATTTTCCAAGGATTTCTGCAGCCGCTGTGTTATGATGAGAGTTGGAAGCATTCCCACGTGTGTGTCACAAATCTATGTAGCAGCACGCAACACCAAAGGAGGGTTGCAATTCCTTTAAACTGAGTCCCTGCCTGCCCTCTTAGATTGATGTAAAAGATCCCACGGCACTATTTGAAGAAGAATAGGGGTGAACTCTTTGATGTAATAACCAAGAGTTGTTGGTCAGATGGGCAGATCAGTGGCAGGTGGAATTTAGCTCTGATAAATGAGAGGTGAAGCACTTTAGAAGAAGGAATGGGACAAAGGTATACTTAGTGAATGCAGGACAATGGGAATCTCAGAGGAACAGAGGGAACTTGAGGTGCTTGTCCATAGATCCCTGAAGGTAGCAGGATAGGTTAATAGAGATGTTAAGTGGGTACACGGGACACTTGCTATTACCAGTTGTGGTATAAATTACAAGAGCAGGCAGGTTCTGTTGGAGCTGGACAGAACTTTGGTGAGGCCACTGCAGGAGTACTGTGTACACCGCACAATTGGAAGGAAGTGACTGCACTGGAGAAGATGCAGAGGAAATTCACCAGGATGTTGCCTGGGACGGAGCATATTAGTGATGAAGAGAGGCTGGATAAGCTCGGGTTGTTTTCTTTGGAGCAAAGAAGGTTGAGGGGGAACCTGACAGAGTTTGAACCATAGAAATGATACAGGATAAAAGGGGGCCATTTGGCCCATCTTGTTCATGCCAACACAAAGATATCCAGATGCCCTTTCTAATTATATCATCCCGCACACGGCCCATTGCACTGCAGCTCACAGCACTTAAGGTACAGATCCAGGCACTTTTTAAAAAGAATTTAGGGTCTCTGCCTCCACCACTGACATAGACAGCAAATCCCAGACACCCACCATCCGTTAAAAAAGTTTTCCTCATATCCCCTCTAAATCCTTCTGCCACTTACCTTGAATCTATGACCCCTGGTTTTTGAACTGTCTGCCAAGGGAAACAGGTCTCTCTATCCATTCTATCTCTACCTCAATCATGGCACTCCTCAGCCTTCTCTGTTCCAAGGAAAACAGCCCCAACCTCTCCAACCTCTCCTCGTAGCTACAGTTCTCCAGTTCTGGCAACATTCTAGTAAATTGTGTCTGTACTGTTTCTACAGCAATTACATCCTTCCTGCAATGTGATGATGAAAACTGCACACAATAATCCACTTGTGACCTCACCAGTGTCTTACGCAGTTTCATCATTATACCCACCTTTGTAATCTATACCTCTGTCAATGAACGACAGCACTCCATATGCTTTCTTTACAACCTTATCTACCTGTACTGCTACTGTTAGGGACCTGTGCACTTGCATGCCAAGATTTCTCATGTCACCTACTCCTTTCAGTGTATTCCCATTTATTGTTTGACCTCCCTAATTGCATTACCTCACGTTTATCAGAGTTGAACTCCATCTGCCACTTTCCTGCCCACTCCACTAAAACATCTGTATGATTTTGGAGTTTACAACTATCCTCTACATTATTGGATTTACAGCTAATTTTTGTGACATCTGCAAATTTCCCAGTTGTGACCCCCATGCTCAAGTCCAAATCGTCAATGTATAAAACAAACAGCATGGGTCCCAACAGTGAGCCCTGAGGAACATCACTTGAAACAGCTTCCCATTTGCAAGGGCAGGCATCGACCATTACCCTTTGTTCCCTGTTACTAAGCCAGCTTTCAACCCGTTACCCCGTATCCCATGGTCTTTTTCTATTTTGACCAGTGTGTAAGATTATGACGGACATGGACACAGCTGAATAGAAAGCAGCTGGTCTCCTTAGTCAAAGAGTCAATTGCGAAGGGGAATCATTTTAAAGTGAAAGGCTGGAGGTTTAAAGGGGATTTGAGGAAAAACCATTTTATCCAGAGGGTGGTGGGGGTCTGGAATGCACTGCCTGGAAGGGTAGTTGAGTTGGGAAACCTTATAACCTTTAAAAAGTACTTGGATGAGCACTTGAAGAGTCATAACATTCAATTCTATGGGCCTAGTGTGGGAAACTGGGACGAGTGTAAGTAGTAATCTGTTTTTGGCAATACAGATTTGGTGGGCTGACGGACCTCTTCTGTACTGTATGATTCTATAATTCTATCCCTCAAGCACTATCACAAAAACAGTTTATCTGGTCATTATAACATTGTTGGTTGTGGGAGCTACTGTACAAAGATTGGATGCTGCATGGCCTACAACGTATTACTGACTACACTTTCAAAATACTTAATTGGCTTTGAAGCACTTTGTCATACCTGTGGTCATGAAGGTGTTATATAAATGCAAGCCTTGCCTTAAATTGCCCAGAAGGACCATTGCTTAGCAACCTCGGCTACAGAATGAACATGGGAGGTACTTACACCTGACATTCTTCACAACAAGACACTGGCGAATGGTAAACATGGCTTCATGCTCCTAAATGAATGTTTGAGGTAATACCCTGACATTACTTTTGAAAAATAGCCATGGGACTCAGGATCCAACTGTGACCATGACCCCATGCCTTGAGGAGAAATGGTTGAGGGGCAAGGTTCTTGACAGTAATTTTCTTCCCTATATTTTGTTCACTCACACCTACCAGGCTAGACTCTGTTTGTTTACATTTTTCTCTGCTAGTTCTGATTTTGTTAATGTGATTTTACAAAGAGAGGGTGAGAACCAAACATGTTTTATCT